CGAGCGACGCTCGAGGTAACACAATCATGACCAGAAATAGAAAATTGCATTTCATTATTTATTTATTTACAAAAAAATAGGAAGGCACATCCCACCAAACTCTCGAAATTAACCTAAGAAAGAAAAAAATTAACTAAGCAGTCGAATAACGCTTCACCCGAGACAAACCCTCGATGATGCAACTGTTCGTACGTAAATTCACCATCCAACTTGAAAAGGTAACTCTGACCATCCCTCGATTGAGCAGCGAGGCCCTCCCTAACGACCGACAGGTCCAACATAAGCGCGTCATCTCCCCCCGAACAACTATGGTCGAATTATCCTCAGGGTCAGCATCAATATCAGACGAGATAGAATCAACCATCAAAACTTCAGTAACTGCACCAAAGAAAGGAATACAAAAGGAAAAAAATCAAGCTACATACCCAAAAGCTGGTTCCAATCAGATATGGTGTAAGAAACAACACTCAAAGGTCTTCCCCAGGCCCCCACCAACAGTTGGCGGCTAAAGACATGTCTCAGCTTCAATTGTCGCCTCCTCGAGACCTCCTTAGGGAGCCTTGGCCCCTACAGCAGCCTGGACGGACATTCCTATCCCCCCAACAGGTGCCCTAAAAGACGATCGCCAGAATAGCCTCTAGCCTGCTCCAAAATCCTCTCTTGCAGCGAGCCCGCAAGGAAAACCAAAGATCCAGCTCTATCCTTACGCTTGCCAGTTCTTAACTTCTGCATAACCCTTTTCTTACTAATCTCCCATGCGAAAGTCTCACCCACCGGTTTACGCTTTACATCCAACTTACAAGCCTTTGTCCGCATAGCACCCATAGCCTTGAGGGGTGCATCTTTGTTAGCAGACAGTGTTCCCTTACTGGATAGGTGGAAGAAAGGAGAAGAGTCAAAGGACGGTAAGAAGGGAGATGACACAAACCTTTCCTATACCGTGGGTTATTTATAGCGGTCTGGGCACAAAAATCCATAAAAGTCCATAATTAAGTAATAATGACATTTAATTCATATTTTTATGTATTTTTTGAACTGCAAAAAAATATTCTCTTGTTCTTATTTGCTGCACAGCTTTCAAAAAGCAAGAAAATCGGGGAACTAAATATGTATACAAAAAATATGTCGTCACGAATCTCAAATCAAATGGGCAGCTCGAAAAAAAGGGGCAACCGATCACGTAACCGATCGATGTAGCTATTAACGACTGACAAATGAGATGCTGATGAAAGAAATATGGATGAACGACCGTAAGGGTCTACCAAATGATTTTGTCCCTTAGAACAACAATCGACTTTCTTTGAACCAATCGTCAGATGATTCAACCTCGAATTGAGTATCGGCGAAGGAATCATCCTCGAATCGAGTATCGACGAAGTAAAAGCATGGCAAGCGATCAATGATTTTCTCACCGTCGTATTACATTCAAATATTCTTGTAATTACTGAAAGACCCCCTTTAAAGACCAATGATGAGGGAACAAATCTGTAATTTTGTAAGATCAGAATTCTTTCCTATAAATAGGGGGTCAATATCATGAATAAAGGTTAAACATTCTCTACTGGTCTTTACTATACTCTCTTTTCCAGTGTGACATTCTATACCTCGGGTGTGTTACCCAAACACTTTTGGATTCAACAGTTTGATATTGGGATTCAACCTTCTAGCAGATATGATGATGGTTTTAGCATATTTATGCATCAAACAATGTATTAGTTAAGCAGAGAATGAAATTTTCTAGTGCAATATATGGTTTTAAGATAATGGCTTCTTAGAGACACAAAACAAGATTTCAATTATGAAGAAAAAGATCATGAATGTGGTTTTATAACATGACTTTAATTGAGATCTACCAACTCCTTTTGGGCAAATCCAATGTATGCGCTTGAATCGAATGCTAATTAATTAATTAACTTAGGGCTTTCAAGCTCAATATATAGTCTCTTCGTCCCAGGTGATGATTCAATTCTTTCACGCACATAAAGGACCACATGGTACTCCATCAATGATACTTAATGACTTAGAATTTAAGAGACATAGTTTGATGAAATTTATTTAAATATCTTTAGATTAAGCTCCTAATTAGGTTAAGTGGAATTTATTTAAAAAGAGAAGCAAGCACTTAGGCAAGTTGGTATTGAGTTAGCGCTCGGGTTAGTCATCAGACCACTTTTTTTGGACAAGTGTTAATCTTTTATAAATGTGGTTATTTATTGTGGTTAACAAGTGTTGACCGCCTTGTAAACCGTGTAAAAAGAATGCAACAACATATGTTGAGTTGATTATTTATCTTAATACAATAGGTTGAAAACATATTCTAAGGTGTGCAATCATAATCACACTAATTAGAACTAAAGATGTTAAAAAGCATATGCTAAATGCTGCAAAGCACTATGGAACTGTTGACATGAAAACTGTAACCAAACATCAAATAAATGCATAGGCTATAAAGAGAATGGAAAATTACCATCAATTGCAAAACGACGTAGCCTTGATGCCCCCATTCTCTTGAATAATGGATCCTTAACATGCAGCAGAGAAATTGATTGTTGCAGCAGATTATCACCTGAATACCTCTAAGAGGATCAGACAACGGATATAAAATTGGGACAAGACAAAGTTTTTAAATACTCAAATCAAGAGATTCATCAAGGTGGAATAAAATTCACGGATTACATAATTCCATAGGGAAAGAACTGGGAAGCAACACCAACTGCAGTTACTACGAAAATAGCTTTCAACAACCATCCGGCTTTCCTCTCCACCTCTTCTTCAAGAGCACTATCATCTGTGTAGTACAATCAAAGTTAACCTTTAAAGCAGTAGAAAATTTGTAACAGAATAAACTTTAAAAATTAGTAAATGGAATCAACACAAGACATGCATTTCATGCTTGTAGTATCCAACTAGTCTACTTTTAGTTTTATACGTCTCCTTGAGTTTCAACCTTTTTCTCCATTGCATCCTATTAAGTGTCATATTTTCATTTAATTCTAACAGACATTTTTGCCGAACCTCGTTAAATCTCTTTGTGTTCTTCTAGATTTGTGTTGTTCTTGGTTTTCTTCCCCCTAATTTCTCAACAAGTGGTATCAGAGATAGGTTTGAGGGCATAAAAGAAATTATTTTGGCGGCGAAGATTTTGGCTGAGGATTTTTCGGCTAGGGCAGAAGAGTAATCTTGGCGCGAACAGGTTCACAGAGGGCTTCACGGTGTTGGCAGAACAGTTCGCGGGTTGTTCGCGATCGAGCAATACAGAAGATCCGAGGGTTTTGAGGTTTCGCTTCGCGTGACAGGGGCGCGACAGAGGCGCGATTATCTGAAGGGATTTGCGACAGAGGGTCGCGACGTCCTGCGACTAGGTTCGCGCGCGACAGAAGAGGTTGTTGGGCGGACGGAGGTTCGGCGGAGGTTCGAGGCTTCCTCCCGTGCGATTGGAAGAGAAGGATTTGTTCGAGGGTTTCGAACAGAGGCTTGCAGAGGAGGTTTCAGCGAAAGCGAACAACTACGGAGGTTTTGGCGCTGCATGCGGAGAAGATCTGGGAAGGAAGGGAATTATTCTTTCCAGAAATTCCATCAAACAAAGTGCGGGAAATATTTGCTCCAACAGAGAAGGAAAATTTTTGAATTCGACTTAATTAAAAGAAAATTTATTTTTTAATTTAGATTGATTTAAAGAAAATATTTAATTAAGGAAACTTAATTAAAATTTTATTTGCAGGGGTTGCGGGAAGAAAGGAAAGTTTTTTTGAAATTCGTTAATTAAAGTAAATATTTTAATTAAGGGGGTCTTCATTAAGGAAGATTAATTAAGAACATGTTTCAATTTTTTCTTTAAAAAAAAAAAAAAGGTTCTAAGCAAAGATTTGCAGAGGAATTTTTTGCAGATAAGTTTCGTTGCAGGTTTATTTTTCAGATGACAATTTCTGGTGTGAAATTCAATGTAGTGAAGTTCCATGGAACTGGTAACTTCAGATTGTGGCAAACGAGGGTAAAAGATTTGTTGGCGCAACAAGGAACCTTGAAAGCTTTGTGGGCAACGAAACCAGATGCCATGGAGGATGAAAATTGGGAAGAATTGCAACAGCGAGCGACAACAACTATACGCCTATGTCTGACAGATGAAGTTATGTATCACGTGATGAATCTGAAATCTCCATGAGAAGTTTGGAAGAAATTGGAAACTCAGTTTATGGCAAAATCTCTGACGAACAAATTATATCTGAAGCAAAAGCTGTATGGGCTGAAGATGCAAGAAGGTTCTGATCTGGCGCAACACGTGAATGACTTCAATTTGATAATACCCCAATACGTGAGTATTGAGAATGAAGATCGAGCAATGATTTTATTGTGTTCATTGCCCTCTTCTTATGAACACCTAGTGACTACCCTGACATATAGGAAATAAAAAGAGACTATCAAAGTTGATGAGATCAAAGTTGATGAGATTACTGCAGCGTTGTTGGCTCACAACCAGCGGAAACAGAATGCAGAGGAAACCTTTTACGACGACAATATATATGTTAAGGGTAAGCAGGATCGTGGAAGGAAGAAAGAGAAAGAGGATTCTATAAGGCGAAATTCTAGATCGAAGTCCACAGGCAAAAAGACAATTCATTGCTACAGTTGCAAGGAGCCAGGTCATATAAAGTGAGATTGTCCAAAGCTGAAGAAGCAGACTGGGGAGAAATGTGATGCATCATCGAAGTCTATAAATGTCATGCAGAGTGACAATTTAGATTGCAACGATGGTGATATGCTTTCAGTTTCATCAACTCAGTTCACAGATGCATGGATTCAGGATTCAGGTTGCTCTTATCACATAACACTTAATAGGGAGTGATTTACGTCATACAGGTCAACTAATTTTGGCTCAGTCTATTTGGGTGATGATATATGCTGCAATATTATTAGTATTGGAGAAGTTAAAATTTAGATGTATGATGATACAATTAGAAAGTTATATAATGTTAGACATATTCCAGATCTGAAGAAGAATTTGATTTCCTTGAACACTCTACATTTGAACACTCTACATAATTTCCTTGAACACTCTACATAAAAATAGTTTTATTCCTAAAGCAGATGAGGATAGAGAAATCATCAAAATTGTTAAGGGTGCACTGAATGCGATGAAAGGAAAGTTGACTGCAGGTAATATCTACAGACTGTTAGGGAGTACAGTTGTAGGTGGAGTTCATTCTGTGGAGTCAGATGATGAGAGTACAAAGTTATGGCATATGTGTCTGGGTCATCTCAGTGAACGCGGGATGGCGGAATTGCATAGAAGAAACATGTTGCATGGTGTTAAAAACTGCAAGTTTGATCTTTGTAAGTTCTGTATTCTTGAAAAACAAACTGGAATCAGTTTTATGACTAGAGAGCACAAAATTGAAGGGATTTTTGATTATATGCATTCTGATGTATGAGGCCCTACTAGGGAGTTGTGATTGTGAGGATCTCAATATTTCGTTACCTTTATTGATGATTTCTCCCGGAAAGTTTGGGTGTATTTCTTAAAACAGAAACCTGAAGTCTTCTCTAAATTCAAGCTGTGGAAAGCTGAGGTGGAGAACCAAACTGACAGAAAGATCAAGTATTTGAGATCTGATAATGACACAGAGTAGACAAATTCGCAGTTTCAGAAGTTCTGTGAGGAGCATATGATTCAGAGGTATTTTTCAGTGCGGATGACATCACAGCAGAATGGTGTGGCATAAATGATGAATATGTCCTTAACTGAAAGGGCAAGATCTTTGAGATTGAATGTATGGATTCCTAAGAGTTTCTGGGCAGAGGCTGTGAATATGACATGCTATCTCATCAATAGATCACCTCGAGCATCATTGGGTGGCAAGGTCGCAGAAGAGATATGGACAGGTAATCCAGTTAAATTCGATCATTTAAGGATTTTTTATTGTCCTGCTTATGTGCATGTACCTGGAGATGAAAGATCCAGAATTGATACAAAATCCAAGAAGTGCATCTTTCTGGGCTACAAGAAAGGTGTGAAAGGATACAAGTTTTGGGATCCGATTGAACAGAAGATGGTGATCAACAGAGACGCAATTTTTGATGAGCAGTTTATGTTACAGCAGAATCAAGACAATGTGTCAAAGAAGAGTTCCAGTTCAGATGCAGTGCAGATGGATTTAGAACAACAGTCAGTAGCTTTTGAGAGAGGTGAAAGTTTAAATCCAACACCTGGTGATTCTATTCCAGATGATCTGCAGAATTATAATCTAGTCAGAGATAGACAGAGACGCACCAATGTAAGACCTCATAGCAGATTGGGTTATGAAGACTTAGTCTCATGTGCACTTCTCATCAGCAGCGATGATCCAGCCACTTTTCAAGGAGCTATCACCAGCCAGGAAAAAGAGAAATGAATGGGTGCAATGGTTGAGGAGATGAAGTCTTTGCAAAAAAAAACCACACTTGGGAGCTAGTTCAGCTTCCAGAGGGAAAGAAGGTTATTGGGTGCAAATGGGTCTACAAAAGGAAACCAACAGTATCAGAAAAAGAAGGGGAAAAGTTCAAGGCTCAACTGATTGCAAATGAATTTTCACAGCAGAAGGGGATAAATTATGATAAAATATTTTCTCCTGTTGTCAGACATATTTCAATCAGGGCAGTGCTTGCATTAGTAGCCATTTGAGATTTGCATTTGGAGCAGATGGATGTTAAAATTGTTTTTTTGTATGGTGATTTGGAGGAGCAGATTTACATGGAGCAACCAGAAGGGTTCACTCAACCTGGACAGGAATATCTGGTCTGCAGGTTAAAGAAATTATTATATGGGTTGAAACTGTCTCCAAGACAATGGTACAAGCGGTTTGACTCCTACATGATTCAGATTTACTACAAGAGATGTGAGTATGATTGTTGTGTTTATGTGAAAAGCCTTGATGATGGTTCTATTATTTTTCTGTTACTGTATATTGTTGATATACTGATTGCTGCAAATAATATGAATGATGTCTGTGGTTTGAAAGATTTATTGAGCCAGAAATTTGACATGAAAGACTTGGGTCCTACGAAAAAGATTCTTGGAATGGAGATTAATTGAGACAGAGGCTCAAGACGATTATGTTTATCTCAACGAGACTATGTTGAGAAAGTGTTGAAAAGGTTTGAGATGAGCAAAGCAAAGCCTGTGAGCACTCCTTTGGCAAATTATTTTAAGCTTTCTTCAGAACAGTGTCCTGAGACAGATACAGAAATGGAAGGCATGACAAAGGTTCCATATGCCAGTGCAGTTGGCTGCTTGATATATGCAATGGTATGTACTCGTCCTGATTTGACTCATGTTGTTAGTCAAGTCTGTAAATACATGGCTAAACCTGGAAGGCAACATTGGGAAGCAGTCAAGTGGATTTTCAGGTATCTAAAGGGTACTGTATGACATAGAATTATTTTTGACAGTCAGCAGAATGATCCTTCAGTTGTGGGGTATGTTGATTCAGACTATGCAAGTGATTTGGATGACAAAAGGTCTACAACTGGGTATGTGTTTACTCTTGGTGGAGGGCCTATATGTTGGAAATCAACAATTCAGTCTATTGTGACATTATCTACAACTGAAGCTGAGTACATGACAGTAGATGAAGCTGTTAAAGAAGCTTTATGGTTTACTGGGCTAGTAAAGGAACTGGGCGTTGAGCAAGATGGAGTTCAGTTGCATTGTGACAGTGAGAGTGCTATTTATCTGGCTAAGAACCATGTGCACCATGCGAGAACCAAGCATATTGATGTCAGGTATCACAAGATCAGAGAGTTGATTGCTTCTGGTGAGATAGTGTTGCAGAAGATTCATACTGATGAGAATGCAGCTGATACGTTGACCAAATCAGTTACCATCAACAAGTTCTTGCATTGCTTGGATTTGTTGAATGTCTGTAGTTGCTATAGAAGCATGGTGACCCAACCCACCTCTGGTATGAAAGAAACTCCATGACGTATTTCTCCTAAGGGACTGAATATTCGTCAAGGTGGAGATTTGTTAGATATGACTCATATATCATAAATAGACAGTGCTAAATCTGGAGCGGAGCAGAGCGGAAGATTCTATCCAAATCAGGGGAGCTTCCTTATGTGGGTTGGGAGTGTGGTACAGGGGTAATTTAGTAATTATATATTGTACCTCAAGGTTTCCATTTTATGTGCTTTCTAGGGTTATAAATTAGGCTTGTATGTAACCCTAAAGATTATCTTTTAATCTCTGAATTTTGTATTCTGTACTTTTTCTGAATTAGTGAAAAGCCGCCGCTTTGCTCCCGAAGACGTAGGCATCTTTGTCGAACCTCGTTAAATCTCTTTGTGTTCTTCTAGATTTGTGTCGTTCTTGGTTTTCTTCGCCCTAATTTCTCAACAAGTGTCATATTTTCATTTAATTCTAATAGATTAAGATCATTTTTTATACAATATGTCTAAATCTTTTTAAATCTACCTCAAAATGGCTAAATGCTTCTAAGAAGAAAAGCTTGATTCATGCATGAGAGAGAGAATGTGAAAGGCTCGAAACATAATTCTCCTAGAACTGAAAATTTCAAACCTAAAAGTGAAGGAACTTCATAAAAGAGTAATGGCCTTCAGAGAAACTAGATTCCAATTTCAGTTAGTTCCCATTTTTACTGCCCTGCGACAATTTCAATTAAGAAATTAAAGGTTTTAGGGCAACGCGGCAAGTCATCTAAACAATTCATAATTGCAGTTATATGCAGATCTTTCGCAAGAAGAAAATTTGATGCTAGGGGAAGTCTTGTTAAGTACAGCAACAAAATTAGTCATCTGAACATCTTCAGTTCTGTCAAAACCTGATTAGGGACTATTATGGCAGAATCTTCCTAAAAAATCACAAAACAACCAACTTGGCACTAGTAAACACATAGTCAGATACAATATCAGAGACAGCCAATTACCTCTCTCATTGATTGTAGAGTATCGGCGCAAGGTGAGAACTTTATAATCTGTTCTTCTACCAAATACCTACAAACAAAACATTAGAATACCTGGGGATCTAGCTATTAAAGGAAGGGAGGGATGAGGAAGATACCAAGCTCGGGAAGAAGGAAGCAGACGAGTATGGCATGGTGGGTGAGCGGAAGCAAGAAGCAAATGGGCGTGAGGATTCAAAAGCGCGGTGTCCTATGGTCTCCGCTGCCGCCGGTAGCCGGTGCGGGGGAAAACATGGCCTAGCTTGTGTAATAAGTTGTCCACTCTTGTCCGAGAGGAGTCCGTCGGGTGCCTCGGGCAATCTCCAGATACTGCTCGGCCATGGTACGGAGTACCTTCTCAGTGCAGAAAGCCTGCCCATCTGTTACAGGGAAATTTTTGTGTCGTTTCCTTCCCAGGTAGCTCTAATGTCCGGCGACTGTATCGCGAAGGTTGGTTCACGAAAGGCGATGTGTTCCGGCGAAAAGGGGGAGTGATATTAGCGACGGCTTCCTGCGGAAATGGGAAGTTTGGGAATAGGGATTTTGGGAGGTAGGTTTCTGTTTTTAACTTATATTTATTTAACTTAATTTTATTATTTTAAGTTATAAATAATTTATATATTATCAAATTAATTATAATTAGATAAATTTATATATATTTATTTAATAGGTAATTACCAAATAAAATTATATTTTAAATTTTAAATCATCTGATAAAGTCCTATATAATTTTTAATTTATATAATTCATGAATGAATAATGTTAAATTATTAATTAATAATTAATTAATTTTTAGAAATATTTATTAATTAATTTAAATACCTATTTTTTATATATATTTTGAGGCTTTGGATAGTCGTATATATTTTTTATATAATATTTATCTTTTTGATGTTCAATAAATCTCGATAAATTATGCTAGCTTCTTTTAAAGTTGTTAAATAGTTTCTCTTGATTTACTAACATACCTAATAGTTTTCAGGATTTAATCATCTTAGGATTTGATAAACCTTAAATCCTAAATCTTATTTAAATTAAATCCCACTAGTAACCAAACAACCACTAAAAGGATGTTTGGATGCACGTAGGATTTAGATTAGGTACGATTTAAATCTAGTAAATTTATATCTATAAAATCTAGTGCTTTTTAATTCAAGATGTTTGATATGATTTAACATAAATCCGCTTAAATTCATCTCTTATATTTGGCATTTTATTGGGATTTAATTTTCGTGTGTAGTAAATTCATTAAATCCACCTAAATATCGGATTTTGTAAATTTGGATTTAGCAAGCTGTTGGATTTATTTCACTTTTTTTAACGTTTTGGTGGATCTGCGTTAAAATCGCTCATAAATCCTATTAACTATATGCTACCAAACATTGTCTAAATTTTAATATGATGGGTATTGAACAGTAAATATTCAGATAATACAAAAATCACACCCCTTCCATCCTTCGTTCGTGATTCCGTCTCACAAACCAACTCCCTTTAGCAAAGCATGAAAAAACTTTCTTATTCAATTTCTCCCATCTCCCTCTCCTATTGAAACCCTTAGTGTTGCCCCTCCCTATTTTTCTGGTTAGACCTAATTGTGAAAGCAATGAAAGAAGACCTTAATGCTTTCGTCTTTCTCATCTAGGAAGGACATGCCAAGTTTGTAGCATACAAAGGCCTCTGAAACCCTCACCGGCATTCCCCACTCTCTCCTTTAGAGCTATTTGGGAAGGCAACATTGGGATTGCGACATAGAAAGACCTTTGAAATTCTCATGTTTCTCCTCCTATTCAACTCATATCAGAGACTACTGAGAAAGGTAAACCATGTCTTTATCTCCCTTACTCTTTCATACCTGCTTAGGTTTGGGAAGGAAACCATTTCAAAGATTGGGATAGCAATGTTGAAATTGTGACATAAAAGACCTCTGAAACTATCGTCTTTCTTCTTCTTCTGGTTTGCTTCTGATCAATCTTTCCCGTCAACTTCTACCAGAGACCATTGAGGAAGGTAAAAACGTCTTACTCCCTTTTTCTCAACCCCTTTGCATGCTTCAGCTTCCCTGCAGAAAACGGGTCTCTTAAAAACGTTCTTAAGGCTCATTTAATTGTTTATCCTTACATTCTATAATTCCATCCTCAAACTTACATTTGTTGCAATTTATTGATTTTTCATTCCCTTGAATTTCAAATGTACTACGCATTTTCATTAATCCTCATATTTATTTTTTTATGTACATAATAAATTACTACATACATAAAATCCAAAAGAAAAATGTTAATAAGCATATTTCACATGATTTTGATTGTCATAAGAATTTATTTTTAGTGCTAATGCTTGATAAATGTTGATGAATGTCAAAATTTTCATGAAAAATAAGGATGAAACTGATCATATTTATAAAAAGTGCATATCATCTTTTAATAAGAAGTGACAACAACACCAGCCTCCCCTAACAATAATAAAAGAATCAAATAGGCCATACGAGTGCTTGAGTTTAGTGAATTTCATTACATTTAAGTATGGACAATTGTTTAATTTAATGAATTTCATTACATTAAAAATATTTTCTCCAACTCCAACAAGCAAATGGATCGCAAGAATAATTTGAGTTTCTAACTAAAATCAAACATCTGTAGGTATATTACTTGTGTGTCAACTTTTTCTTTCTTCCTTGTGTCAGTAGTTATGATGATCATTTACTCATAGTATTATAATCAATTAAATGTTATTATCACTAGTTAGAATCCACACCAATTTCTTTCTTGTGTCGTTGGTTACTATCGCAACGATGTCTTTGGACTAATCATAGTATTAGAATTTTGTATAGATTTTTGTTACTCTTTAGAGTTTTTCAGTGATGATTGAAAAAATTGTATTTTTTAAAGTTAAATTATTTCATTCTTATCTAAATTGGTTTAATGAAAAAAATGGTGTGGAACCAATTTCTTAAGCAGGGATGGTGTGATATAATTACAAGATTGATTTAATATCAGATCAAAATGAAAAATTATTCATCGCATTAAAATATAGTGGATATTGAAAGCAAGGTAAAAAATCAATCGAGGAAAAAGTATGTAGGTGACCATCAAAAAACTATTAAAATTTAGAAAGATATGTGACTTTGGTAGTGCCAAAAAAATGTTGAATTTATTTGTCCTTGAAATAGAGGACATGAATTTCAACTACAATATCATAAATTTGAATCATCACCAAAAGATTACATGTACAACGACCATAAAAATGCCCTCGTACGGTGACAATTTCCATTTTTTATGTGCAAATACAACAACGCTAGGACAACATGTCGATGATGTCTTGCAATTTGGCTAAATTACATCATCTCGACCTTCAAATTATGAATTTTATGTTTCTGTAGTTTTTTTGTTTCCTGGTAGGGCAAAAATAGTCCATACGTTCACATGGTAGCATCCCAAAATTGCAAAAAAATGACATGATGTATCACATCATCATTCTACTTATGGTACTGCACCACTTTTTGGCGCCTCTTATTCTTGTATCGTTTAATATAACATGTTCTCTAACATTATGCCTCATAATGAGCCATTTCATGAGTTTTGAGGGTTGAACAAATGCCCAGTGGGCCAGCAATGTTCGTTTTTGATGTGCAACCCCGTTGTTTGAATTGAAATGGTGGACTATGCATCATTGCTAGAGCAACAACCTGACACGTGCTTGGAATTCGCTCAAATTCCTTCATCTCTGTTCATAAATCATGACTTCTATATATTTTTTTTATTTTTGTGCATATTGATGTGGTAAAAACAACCCAAAAGAGCATGAGATAACATCCTGAAATTACAGAAAGCGATATGACGTGTCACAACATTTTTCAACATATTGTACTACCCTATTTTCTCGTCCCAATATTTTTGTACCACCTAGTATTGCAAGTCCTATAACGTTATACCTCATAGAGGCCATCTCACCAATTGTGTAGACCGAAAAATGCCTCAAATGGCAGACAATATTTGTTTTTGTTGAACCAAAAAGATGGACTATGCATCACCGGTGAGACAATGCCCGGTGCCAAAATTCCAAGCACCTTGGCCCTCAAATCATGAATTTTATGTTTTTAGGTTTTAGTGCATCCCGACATGGTTTCAACAGTTCGAAAGAGCACGACGTAATATACCGAGATTTCCAAAAGATAATATGACATGTCACAACATCATTCCACATATTATGATGCATCATTTTTTGGTACCCCATAATTTTTTATACCCTAATATTACATGTCCTTTAAAATTATACCTCCTCTAGAATTACAACTCATAATAGACCATCTCACAGGCTGCGGGTGATCAAAAAATGCCCCGTCGACCCGACAGTGTTCGTTTTTGACATGCAACCATTTTTTTTGAACCGCAATGGTGGAATATACATCACCACCACGGCAACACTCCAACACCTGCTTGAAATTTGGCCAAATTCCATCATCTCAGCCATAAGTTCATAAATTTTATGTTTGTAGTCTTTTCTTGCATCCCGACAGAGCAAAAAAAAAAAAACCCCAAAGTGCACGAGGCAACACCCCAAAACTGTAAAAAAATGATATGACATGTCAAAACATCATTTCACATATCTTATTGCATCATTTTTTGGCACATCATATTTTTGTATCGCCTAATATTACATCTCTTCTAACATTGTACCTCATAACGGTCATCTCACATGTTGTGGTTGCCTGAAAATTTACCGGTAGGATGTTGTCTATTTCTGACATGTAAGTACATTTTGTTAATCGAAACAGTGGACTATACATCACCACGAGGGCACGCCCGGTTCCTTCTTGGAATTTAGCCAAATTACATCATCTCAACCCTCAAATCTTGAATTTTATGATTATAGAGTTTTTTTCACCATGTGGGGTAAAAATAGCCTGAAAGTGCACAAGGTAACATTTCAAAATTATCAAAAAAATGATATGTCGTGCACAACTTCATTTCATATATCATGCTGCACGATTTCCTCATGCCCCATTTTTTTGTATCGCTTAGTATTACATTATATATAAGTTTTATATATTTAATTTATAAATTTATTATATATTAATTTTATATATTTAATTTATATATTATTTTAAATTAATTTAAATATATAATTATTAATTAACTAATTTATAATTAAATAAAAAAATTAAAAATTTATATATTATTTAAATACAAAATTTAATTTATATATATATAT